GTTTCATGGTTAATGGGTAAACAATATGCACGCAATGAATCTTTGACGATTATTTCGATATTTTAATATTTTAATGAATTATCTTCGTAATTGTTGTAACTGTAGCTAATAATTGTAAGTTCATCTTTGACGATTATTTTGATGTTTTAATACTTATTATAATCGAATCATAAAACTTTACAATGAATCGGTCACGTTGATTCATGAAAATAATACAATACTTTGCCGGAATCCAAACTTATTTATAAGTTATTAAACATGTGATATTAACTATGCTCGATCGCGCATTGCGTTATAATGTTCTCATTAAAAAATCATTAATGATTATCCCAAATTTTTTTATTCAAACAGTTAACTGAACTGTGACTAAGTTCGTATTTGCACAATGTTCTTTCGGTTCAAGTTAGATAATGACTATCCATGAAAATAAGAGAACAAGCAGATTAAAAAAAATTATATCATAGTTATGATAAAGGAAAATAATAATATAGTAATTTGCCGGAATTCTAACTTATTTTTAAGTCATTGAATGGTTGATGTAAGTTGCCCAATCCTGCATTGCTGTTATATTGCTCATATTGGAAAATATTAGCCATCGGTTTTATCAAATGTTTCATTAAAATATTGTTATAATAGGGAAAAATAATGTAATACTTTGCCGGAATTCTAACTTATTTTTAAGTCATTGAATGGTAATTGAATTATAATGTAATCACTTCTTTTAAAATTAGCCAAAAGTTTTTCAAGAAACTTTGATAAATACACTGATAAAACTTTGAACTTTGATACAAGTGTTTTAAATAATTTTTGTGAGCAATAATTGCACAGCAAACATACACACACACTTTTATCATGCAATTTTAATGAATTTACAACAATTTTACTCGTAGAAACGCGATTTTGATTTGCAACAAAAAGCTGTAGAACAAAAACTATACCATTTCAAGGGCTAGACATTACAAGAATACCGGATTTGTAGAAGAAGTCATAGTGTTATTAACTTAGCTGTCCATACAGAAATTCAACAAAAAATTATATTTCCAAAATATAACGTTATAGGAGCTTCTAAAAATTAGAAAACTACTTTGACTGCGTGGTTTGATTTAAATGGAAAAGATCATTTTGCAAGAAAAATAAAATATGTCAACATACCGAAATATTATATTTTTTCTAAACAAACGAAAACTCAGATACCCTTCATTAGGAAGGTTACCCTACACGTTTCACCAGCATATTCTGCAAATCGAAGTAGTGTTCCAAGTTTATTTTGTAATCGAACCATGTGCTTTTATACTTATCCGATTAATTTTTATCTTTTCTTTATTGTGGCAATGACTGTTCTGTTGATTACGTATTGTTAGCTGATGTCATTTTTATTCTTTGACAATGTAGAACATTTCTAATCTTTAGTTCCTGAATTATAACGTCCAAAAAACGTGGTTTATAACAGTCAAACTGTAAGTCGTTGAAGTATTATAATTTTTGTTGCAAACGAATGGTTGAAAATTATATAACGAAAAAAATTAACACTATATAATAAACAAGCACATGCTAAAAACATATTCTTTACAATACTATAAATACAGTAAAAATTACATTATAATTTTAAACTATAAATAAAATTCAGATATATATATATCTAAACTGTTGGTGTTTAGTTATTTTTAAATGATTTTTGTAAATTTCGCGCGTAATTTACCTTTTATTATAATATTTCTAATAAAATTTCAAACGGGGGATTGGCGAGCGGAGCCCCCCTAGTATGTATATGTTACAGGCAAAACCCGATTTTAGGCAAAAGTGTATTTTGCCTAGGCAAAAGCAGAAATGCCTATGATTTTAGGACATAACCGAAATGCCGTTCAAATTATAGGAAATTCCTAAACAAATTAGGCAGAACCCGAAATGACTGAACATTTTTAGGCAAAACAAATTATGCCTAACCGATTTTAGGCATTTTCGTGTAGCCCCCTCGGAGACGTCGGTCGGTCTTAATATTATCGACATAGATACCAATGCTTCTGTACGACTGTATTGTAAACCATGAATGAATAATAAGTCGTGAATTTATTATCAATTATCAATTTATTAGCATGAAACTAATTTAAAGTTAAGTATTAGCCTTGAGACAATTGTCAATATATCATATTATTGATAATTTATTACTTATTTAGACAAGTTATACTATTGTGGCATTTTAAGTTACACAGCACATTATTTTTTTTACAAATGCAAATTCTGGTAGTACATTTTGTTTTACAAGTACATTTGAAGAAGCCTAATAATGTAATTAAATCTCTTGTACAGTTAGCAAATTTTAAGGAAGTCTCCTTGATTAGTCGATCGCGACCACCATGGCCAGTGGCAATATGTGCTTGGTGTATAATATCGTACATTTCTTCGCTAATTTTATCATTTTCAAGATGTTCACAATTTTCACTGTATTCAGCCATTACTATGTCACTTGGTAGCTTTCACTCACTTTACACATAAGATACACTGAAGATATAATGAATTAAATAATAATATTATTTACATCCCCGACGGAAATTATTTTGTAGATAAATTTTTAATAAATCTTAATAAGTCTTATAAAGTCTTATAAATGTCCGAAATTCGCACACCAGATTAATGGTTATAAAAAGTTTATAAATCTTTCAAAGAGTTTATAAGAGTTTATAAGAATTACGTTTTTATGCCAGCGCGTGACTATTTCAACTTGCCCTTGAAAACATATTTTTAGAACTCTTATAAACTCTTATAAAGTATTATGAAGCCTTATAATCTCTTAAAAAGTCTTATAAGGAATTAGGAACTTTTGAAATTTAATAAAAAGCTATGATAACAATTATTCAATTTTTGAAAAGGATTATAATGATTGTTCAGCAATAAACGATCAGATGACACAAAGTAATGAGAAGAAATTCATACAATTAATGAAATCCACGAAGTTCAAGTCGTAATTGTTTTATTGTTACAAAATCTAAAATTATTCTACACCTTTGAGGATCTCTTATTAATTAATTTGTTACTCTCCCCATCGCACCTTTTACAAGCGAACTCAAAAAATATCTATTTTTAAAACATGTGAAAACACAGGGTCTGTATAATTGATCGTAATTGGTACAATACACATTATCAGAAATTAATTCAAATTCGTTTAAGTGTACTGAGTCTTCGCTGTCAAGTAAAGACTTTAATATTTTTAACTTTTTAAAAAATAAATACACGTAGAATACATTTTCACACTTGATTGCATATATTGCTGTAATAATAGCAAATTGACCGTTAACCATTTCAACTACAGAGTCATTATTTTTTTTTTGTTTTGCATAAAAACAAGTAGTAAATCTACATTTGTTATAAATAAGTTTGCTATACTTCTTACAATCCAATATTTTGTCTGTATTCATGAAGTATTTCAAACTTGAAATTCCTTCATGGCTCAAAGTATGTTTTTTTGAGATACCTACTAAAATACATGAACCAACTCTGAATATTTTTTTCAAATTATGGGTATTTATTCCATCACAAAATTCCTTGACCGGTTTTGAAATGAAATCCTCATGCATAAATGTTGGTATTCTCTGATAAATTAGCAGCCTTGTGGTAATTTGAGTCGCTATTTCAAAATTACTTTTTTTCATTCGTAGTACAAGTTTGTTTTCATTTTCAAACGGGAACGTGCTAATAGCCCATAAAGGACCCTAATTTTTTACCGATTCACATAAATGTAAAAGAAGATGCACATTATAGTGCATATAGTTATTACCATATAACTTTCCAAATTGAAAAACAAACGTGATAAGTAGTTCATTAGCAGTGTGCAGCATTTTAGGTGTTATAGAATCACTCAAAAGAATATTCATTGCTCTAACGAATAAAGATAAGTGTATAATATACTTTTTTTGAGTCAATCCAGACAAACATGGAATTGAATAATACAAGAGCCATGTAAGCCATTCAGAGGCCTTCCAATTGTTTCGCTCCGTGATACCCCTAGGGGTTTTTCCAACACATGTAGGAGGCTTTATCGATAAAAGACGTTGGTTAATTATATGAGTTTTGGTTGGATCCCCAACGTAATATTCTTCTCCAACATTTGAAAGAAGAATGTTTGTATGTAACTCAGTTACACCTACTAAACATGCATGTAAAAAATCCACAATCATTCCTGAAACAATGTTAAAATGTTTCAAATTCATCAAAGCTGATGAGCCCCATACTCCAAGAATATCTACTTGCTTCGATTGAGTTGATGAGCGATATTTATAGTAAGCCAAAGCCATTTGTCTTTTAACAGATTCATCTGTTCTGAGTTTTGGAATATTTTCTATCATGGGGTACTTTCGAACATTATCTATGTTTACTGTTGGATGTTCACAATAAGTGCATCCATGAATACCGTTAAACCTCTTCATGTTTAACATCGCACATCGAGCTGGTGAATCGACACAACAAGTTATAGGAAATAGCTTACTTATAATTTCTTTTCCTTTGTTCTCCCATTTAAAGCCATATTCAGAAAGTTTATTTGCTTGATTAACAAATGGTTGTAAAAAGATGGTCATGTCTGGCTCTTGTTTTGCTACCCACAATCCAATCAACATCGTATGTTTTTTTCTTAAGTAGTCAGGTAATTCATGTAGCATTATATAAATTGGCCATACTGTAACTTTGGAATTATCTGCAGCTTGACAACCATCTGTATTAAAAGTGTAGGAAAAGTTATGCTGATTTTTTAACATATTTTCCTTGTTGCATAATTTTTTATATAGTAATCCATCGAAAATATCTTCTAAGGCATCAACCTGCTTTTTTTGCCTGCACCACCTTTCTTCTAAACTATCTACCACAACTGGGTCATAAAATAATTTTTTCAATTGATCCGAAATATCCAACTCTAAAAATAAAGAGTTAGTTGAAGATTGTGAAAAAATAGAAATACAATTAGAACATGCCTCAGAAAATTTTTTATTTGAAGAACTTCCGAAGTACTTGTGGCAAACGGTGCATACACTGTGATATATAATATTATCAGTATTAACATTCATAAATTTTTTGAGCATGTATTTAGTTTGAGGCAATATTTTCTTTTTGAAAATAAAATTCAAAGATTGGAAAATATCTAACAAAGATTCCCAGGTCCAACTGTGTTTTTCCGACAATGTCATAAATATTGCTAAGATTTCCCCTGCATTTATATTATTGCATTTGTTATATACCAATAACCCAGCGTTGGGTATAGTAAAATTTAAATATAATAATTAAAATAAGACCGTCAAATTAACACGTATGACGCCTGATCTCGCGGGTAAAGAGGCATGTGTGTAAGATGAACACAGAGACAGGCAAGCGCTGTCGCATGAATGTGTGTGTGAATGTAAGCAGCCAACACACATCGGCGCATTAGATCGACTCCGCGCGCATATGGTGCATTATTTCAAAAGCGTGATATGACATGTCTTGTTATTGTAGCTATTAGAAAACTTTGAAAAAATGAAAACTAAGACGGTAGAACCTTTCATTTTACCGAATTTTACCTTCCGCAACTATAAAATTTCCATAAAAAAAGACCACATCGATTTGCCAGCCGGATAAACACACCAAATGTCCCCTCCGTGACCTGTCCTGAACTCAGAATCGATTGTTTTCACTCATTAAAAATATTTTTACAAGTATCCAGCAATATTGTGATACATGGGCCTTATTCTATACATCCTAAAGAAAGTTTTTTTGTATGACTCGTCATCTTAAATAGTCTCAAAACAATTGTACATAAGTTACAAATGTGTCCTTAAATTATGTGAAATTTTACATCATTACAAATATAGTGCCAGTAAACGTGCTAGACAATAATTTTGACCTCTCTAACTATACGAGGGTCATCTTTCAGAACTAAAGTACTCGATTTTTACCCGTAGAATATTCAAATCTTAGTTGCAGCTTCGCTATAACAATACTTGCACACGAAAATCGTACTAGTAAAATAAAGTGTCCCCTCCGTGATCGACGAGTTTTTGAGCTAGCGCTTTTTATTTTTGAATGTGCTGGCGTAAAAACGTTCGTCTTTACAAACAATTTTTGTGCGTGATCGGAAAAAAAATTTTCAACTTTGTTGTCGTCGTGAAATTTGATGAAAGTGCGATTTGTCCCCTCCGTGACAAATTTTCATGTTTGCAATAAGAAAATAAACGGATTAGATGATGGCCGGTAAAAAGTGAATATTCCATGAAAAAACAAAGAATCAAGTGTCAGAAACTACGGGGGTCCGGAAAAATTAAACTCAAAATAGAAGAAAATAAGTTTTTCAATTTTTCCAATATTGCCCATTTTACCCACTCCAAATATCACACTTTTGAAATAATGCACCATATGTGCATCAGCCGAACACAGAGCAAGGCAAAGGCTGAAGGTATGTACGGACGTGCGCGAGCAACATTACCGACGCATTAGATCAAGCCTTCGCACGCGTATATATTCCGTGTGTGTGTACTCGCGTGTGTGTGCAAGTCGAACACAAAGAAGGCATAACACACACATGCGAGACGAGACTCGTGGAATGATTCGAATTGGCACAAAGGGGAGACGCAGGTTCGCACGCGCACTCGCAAGTCCCATATCTCCCCCAAGTTTGACCTTTGACCTCAGATAACCATTGGGCACACTGGTCTAGCGGAAACTGAGTGTGGGAAAAACCCAAGACGTACCCCCGCCAAAAGGTCCATGATTTAATTAGTATATAACATGCATAAAAATTAGGCCTCGAGGCAGATCATTATATACTGTCGAGCAGGGCGAAGCTCTGGGCAGATCATCTGAAAGAGTCGAGTGAGGCGAAGCTCTGTGCGCGCGAATAATCAAATCTTTGTAATAGCGACTTTGAAATATTTAACGGACTTGTAATACAACGTGAATTGCACATATTGTACTTAGTGAGAATCAAGCGCGAGTCAATAACAGCGACTAACTTGTACTTGTACTTATACTCCGCGACCATCGAAATTGTTAATTGTATTCGCGAACGGTAAAGCTCGAGTGAGTGCTTCACCCAGCCTAGCAGCGCAACAGCCCAACAGCAGCCACGACCGTCACTGCAACAGCCGCCGCCACCACCGAGGCAGCCGCGACCGAAGGCCAAGCAGCATCAGCGCAGCGCACCAGCAACAGCGACAACCGTAGCGTCCCGACGGCGTTTGCAGCCCTACAGATCGACGAGCATCGGCCACACTTATTTTGTAAGCTTGTTCAATAGTAATTAGTTTTCTTGTAATAAAGTCTTGTGTGTAAATCTCACTTGAGCGTTATACACTTTATTTCATGTTCCCTCCCCGCTCAGACACAACAGAAAATAATATTTAATATTCAAATAATAAAGTTATTACCCAGTGGTAACGGGTATATAACACATTCACACATTTTTTTTACTAAATTTTCAGTAATGTCAGCATTTTGTCGGCGATGCTTTGATTTAGATGTGGAAAATTCCTCACTTTCCATTGTCAATGTCTCTTCAAGTTTTTCTTCAATTTGATTTTCGTCTATAATTTCTTCACAATTTTGCATAGATGTTTCGCATAATTGTTTGTCATTCGATAGTTGAAATTCAGAATATATGTGTCTACTCTCATCACTGACTTTAAACTCTAATCGTTCTTCTGATATCTTTTTAGATATTTTTTCTTGATATTTTGTTGTTGATCTTGGAGCTCCTTTGGACTTTGAATCAACATCGTGATATGATTTATATATTCCACGTGGTTTCATTTTAGCAAAAGTAATTTTAGTATTAAACTTTGAAATTAAGTAATTTTTATGAAAAAAACTGCGTCCCGACTGATACACGATCTACTGAATGATAAGCAATGAAGATCCACACTGTACTCACAATATAATAACAGTAAGAATTTGTCTATATTCAGTTAGTTGTTGAATAAGTGATGTGTTTACGTCCCTCTATGAAGTATGAGTCGACCAAAAACTAACAATTCCTTATAAACACAGTCAATTATTTACTGTGTAATTATGAATATTTTTTATTTGTTGAAAACAAATTATTATGTTTCAATTTTTTAATGAATTTTTCCAAGCTAACATAAGTATAAAAAACTTTATAAAGATTGCACTCTTCGTAGACATATACTTCGACACTATTGTATTGTAAGTCACCTTACAAAGAGAGCCATTGCAAAACTAGCTTAAACAGCGGGAATACCAATACATCGCGAATCAGTATTAGCCGGCAATTTTTCTGTGTTCTGTATTTTTGATTAGTTTTATTAGGTTAAAAAAATTATTTTTAAAATGTCATCTAATGAAGATGAGACAAATGAAGAAACTGGCAATCAGCCACACGTGTATTTACAATTTCCTCCAATTAAAATTGGTGATAAAGTTGAACGTAAAATAATGCCAATGACGGTTATGCCAAAAAAGTTTGATTATGAAGCATTCAAAAATAAACGTACAATTTATGAAAACAAACATTTCAAAATTAATGAAAATGGATTGAAAAGAAAATGTTTCTTTTTATATGCTGCTGGTAAGTTGATAATTGTCATTATTTATTATTACATTTTATAGAAAATACATAGAAAAAAACGTTCCACATTTCAAACGTAAACACTAAACTCTACACCTAATCTGTTACAGATACCTATGATGAAGTTTATGCTGCAAGCAAAAAAACTAAAAGATTCAGAATTCCAACTCACACAGATACAATTGAAGATAGCTCTCTTCTTGAAATGGATTTGGGTAATGGTTCTACAAATGAAAATGATGATCAACAAGTGTTACAAAAAACCAAGAAGCAAAAAAAAGCATCCAAGAAAGCGAAGAAATCAAATCAAAAGGACAATCAAAGTTTAATCCTTGATAAATATCTGCAACAAAATGAGATGGTAATACATATTTCAAGTTTTTTTATATAAATTATAAATTCTCTGTGACAGTGCTTATTTCTGTGCAAAAGCCTCTAAGGGATTTTTGAATTCAGTCTAACATATGAGAGTACTGTAATTACCGAAACCAGCATGATTAATCCTCATACTAAACTAATTAACTAATTGTAACGTTAACTGACATGAAACTGCTTTCCTGCACGTTTTAGTAGTATACATTGATAAATGTTTATTAGTTGGAATTTTATTGCTGTGTATGGACTTGCACAGTCATTCAAGTTACATGAATTTTATTCTATACTCGTTCCTATGCTGAGGTATAAAGGTCTCAAAATTTCTACAAAAATTCTGTTGCTCTCTAAACATTAAAAGTCAATCTTGTGCTTATAACAACTATCATTTTTATTGTCTTTCATTTTTTTTAAATTTAATGTAACATAAATTGGTTCCATCATTAATTGCTTTGACGTTGCATTATAATTGAGCATAAATATTATCATGAAAACTCATTTAGTCATATTTGTTAACTTTAATTAGTGTTTCATGTTTTGAAATTAATATATTCTTGTCATTGAATTTTTTGTACCTAGATGAATCAATTAATACAACAGGAGATTGGGGAAGTTGATCAGTTTGATAACAGAGAGTTCATACCTGCATCCTCACCTAATGCGGCGCATTCAAATACAGTAAATATTTTCTTATATTTTGATTATTGCCAAAAAAATTAATTTGATCCATTCTAATTT